GCAGTCTGAGTCCTGACCTTTTCCACCTCCAACCTCTACTGTGCTATAAACCCATTTTTACCTAGTTTCACTGAAAGAGAAAAAGAGGATAGCCAAGTACAGTGAATGTGTGGTTTTTGAAGAACGCATAAATACATATATGTATGTGAGCAGTGCTTGGAAAAGATCCTTTACCATCTAAAAGGAAAGAATATATATATATATATATATATATATATATATATATACATATATACCCCACAGTTGATCCAGAGGAAGGCAATAAACCCAGCAAAGCATGATCCAATTTGCTCCTGCAGGGGAAAAAAAATTCCTTCCTGATCCCGTGAGGCAATCGGATATTCCCTGGATCAAATTTACCTATAAATGTTAGTATCCTGTTATATTCTGTGTATCTGGAATAATAATCCTTTATTATATAACAGGCCTTTTTTAAAGCAATCCACTGAGCTGGCTAGAACCAACTCTTGAGGGAGTCTATTCCACATTTTCACAGCTCTCACTGTGAAGAAACCTTTCTGTGTTTGGAGATTAAATTTATTTTCCTCCAGACGTAAAGGGTGCCCCCTTGTCCTCTGTGATGACCTCAGGGTGAATAACTCTACACCGAGTTCACTATATGAAACACTGTCGTATTTATACATGGAGATCATATCCCCCCTTAATATCCTCTTCTCAAGAGAGAATAAATTCAGTTCCTCTAATCTTGCCTTCATAACGGAGCTCCTCCATGCCTCTTATCAGTTTGGTTGCCCTTCTCTGTACTTTCTTCATTTCCCCAATGTTCCTTTTGTGAATTGGTGCCCACAACTGAATTGCATATTCTAGATGAGGTCTTACTATTGATTTGTACAGGTATGAAGTGATATCTCTCTCTGGAGTCTATACCTCTTTTAATACAAGAGAGGATTTTGCTCGCTTTAGAAACTGCAGCTTGGAATTGCATGCCATTATTAAGCTTGTAATCTACCAGAACTCCCAGATCCTTCTCCACCATTGATCACCCAAGTAGTACCCCCTTAGTATGTATGATGCATGCATATTCTTAGCCCCCAAGTGCAGAACCTTACATTTATCAACATTAAACCTCATTTGCCACATAGTTGCCCAATTACACAGAGCATTGAGGTCAGCTTGTAAGTTGGAGACATCATGTAAGGACATTATTCCACTGCACAGCTTGGTGTCATCTGCAAAGACTGAAATGGTATTTTTAATCCCAGACCCTATATTGTTTATAAATGTATTAAAAAGTAAGGGTCCCAACACTGAACCTTGGGGTACACCACTGATGACCCTAGACTATGCAGAGTATGAATCATTAACCACTGCTCTCTGAATACGATCTGTTAGTCAGTTTTCTAGCCATTTACATACTGATTTTTCCAAACCTGTAGACTTTACCTTACACATTAGTCGTGTGTGGGGAACTGTGTCAAAACTCTTTTGTAAAATCCAAATATATCACATACATCGCCACCCCTCTGTCCAAGGTTTTTCTCACCTCCTCATAAAAAGAAATCAGGTTTTGTTTGACAACTTCTGTCTTTCATTAATCCACATTTGTTCCTTAAAATATTTTTTTCCAGCAAGAACTCATCTATGTGGTTTTTAATTAAACAATTTATTAAAAGATTTATTTTTTTAAAGATATGCTTGTCATTGTCATGCATTTGTGAGTATATTACTTGCCTAATTTATTCAATAAAACTGTACAGTGGTAATGTGCTAGGTTGGTGCACACTCTCTTTGTTGTTGTGTTTGAGGTGATAAGATGCCTTGAAAGGGGGTAGCAAATGATAAAGGCACGTGGCCTGGTAATGGTTCAGGAAAGAGGGATGCAGGCTCACAGCCTTTTCTTTCCTGGCCACCCGGGCTGCATGCTTGGATAAGGTATGACTTGGGAGACCCACCACTGTGTTTTTTACAGAGTACACATTCTAAAAAAAAAAAAAAAAAAAAAGAGAAAACAAATGGTGTGGGAACCATTAAAATCAAAACCAGACCCTTATTCAGACATGCAGCCTGGATGGGCATAAAAGGGAGTGTGCACCTCCCTTGAGCCATCTAGTGTGCTTCCTCCTGAACACATGCTTTCAACATTTTGCAAGGGTACATCCCCTTTCAAGGTACCTGTCTCCCAAAAAGGTATATGGATGTTCTGGGGGTGAACTCTGCAGAATCTGGAAGCCCCAGATATCTGTCACCTAGGGAAATAAGTACAAGATGCATAGTATTTATCTTTACTCATTCCTTTTCAAAATGTAAAAAGTAAATAAAAACAAACCACCCCCATGAAAAACTTTTGTTAAAAAAAATAAACAATATCCCCAATATAAATACACAAGGATGTTTCCCCACCACCCTATGATGGCACTACAAAAGCACACTGACCAGTGATGGGGCTGGAGATGCTTGGTGATGTTATTGACCAAATATGGTTTTCGCCATATTTGGTCAAATTATGTCACCTATGATCCCTGGTGTGTTTGTTTTCAAACATAAGTCTGCTAAAGATCTTCTATTTAGTGGTGCTGTTTGTAAACAAATCATGTCACGTTTGTAGGACTAAATCACACACTTTAAGGCATCCCAGAAGTAACTTAATTAAAGAATTTGTGTATTTTTATTGTTGCTCTTTAGGCTGAATTAAAAGATCTCCTACTGACTGGTTGGCACATATCCCCTATGGCATTGTCCAGTTACCCATACACTTTAACAAAAGATCAAGATTCAGTTCCTATAGACTTCATTGTAGTTTGGCATGTTAAGGGTTTACAAATTTCTTGGTGGGTTTGTAAGACATCCAAAAAACTGAACTTTGGTTCACTTATTCTTCCTGGTTGATGTGTGTTTTTTTTACCATCCGTTTTGGTCTCAGTTATAGGAAAAAAAGAAGGAAAAGGAAATATTGCCAACTATAACTAGAGATGGGTGAATCTACTTGGGCTTGATTTAGGGAAAATCCTGTCTGAAATTAGCAAACCCAAAACTTAGTAGCAAATCCCACTGAAGTCTGTGGGGGCAAATTCTGCTGTTAAATTTTGGTCATTTTCAGGGTGTTATGGACAAACTATTGTCAAAAAAGGTCATGGGCCACGGCCATAAGGGACATTAAACAAAGCAAACATTTATACTTTTATTTAAATACCATATCGGGGAGAGGGTTCTTTAATCTGACTTTGGAGGCAAAAAATGGCAAAGAAGCAATCCTTTAAATTACATGTTCAGAAGATGCCTGCAAACTGTAGGTGGTGTTACGGAAAAGTAAAATTAAAACAAAAAAAAAAAAAAAAAAATAATAAAATTTATTAAAAAAAAAACAAACAAAAACGAAATGCAATACTAAAACATAACCAGTGCAAAGGCAGGGTCAGCAACAAATCAGACAGAGACAGGAACAGGAACAGGAATGCAGGAACGAGATACAGGGCCCAGGAAAAACACACAAGGCAGAGACTGCAGGTCTGGCCATCCCTTAAATACACCTGCATGATCAACTTCAGGTGTTTGGCTGGCTGCAGGGTTGAGTCTCTGATTGCCGGGAGCACCCGCTGGCCAGCCCTGGTACTGCAGCCCACAAGGCAGGTGGGTCCCACCATTACTGGCAAGTCCATTACAGACAGTACCCCCCCCCCCTCAAGGAGCGGCCTCAGGACGCTCCAAACAGTCCTAGCCGGGCAAAATGTTCCACCGCCGGTCTGGTAACTGGCGGGATATCAAAGACTGGCACATCGGGCAGGACTCCGGGCAGTGGCACATCGGGCAGGACTCCGGGCAGCGGCACACCGGGCAGAGGCACATCGAGCAGGACTCCGGGCAGTGGCACATCGGGCAGGACTCCGGGCAGCGGCACATCGGGCAGGACTCGGGCAGCGGCACACCGGGCAGAGAGGCACATTGAGCAGGGACTCCAAGCAGCGGCACATTGGGCAGGACTCCGGGCAGCGGCACATCGGCAGGACTCCCGGGCAGCGGCACATCGGGGCAGGACTCCGGGCAGCGGCACATCGGGCAGGACTCCGGGCAGAGGCACATCGGGCAGGACTCCGGGCAGAGGCACATAGAGCTGGACTCTCCGGGCAGGACTCCGGGCAGAGGCACATCGAGCTGGACACCGGATCACCAGGGGGAGCAGCAGGCACCGGGCCACCAGGCGGAGCAGCTGGTGCCGGGCCCCCAGGCGGAGCGGTGCGGGTGCCGTGCCCCCAGGAGGGGCAACAGGCATTGGGCCCCCAGGCGGGGCGACGGGCAATCGGGCCCCCAGGAGGGGTGACGGCACGGGCATCAGGCCCCCAGGAGGGGTGATGGGCATCGGGCCCCCAGGAGGGGCGACAGGCATCGGGCCCCCAGGAGGGGTGACAGGCATCGGGCCCCCAGGTGGGGCGACAGGCATCGGGCCCCCAGGCGGGGCGACAGGCATCGGGCCCCCAGGAGGGGCGGCAGACACCGGGCCCCCAGGAGGGGCGGCAGACAACCGGGCCCCAGGCGGAGCGGCGGGCACCGGGTCATCAGGCACGACAACGGGCATCGGGTCACCAGGCATCAGGTCATTTGGCTCGCCAGTGGGCACCGCGTCATCTGGCAAGGCAGTGGGCACCGAGTCACCAGGCACGACAGTGGGTTCCCAGTCAACTGGCATGACCGCGGGCACTGGGTCAGACATTGGACAGCGGGGCATCGGGTCACCAGGCATCAGGTCATTTGGCTCGACAGCGGGCACCACGTCATCTGGCAAGGCAATGGGCACCAAGTCACCAGGCATGACAGTGGGCTCTGAGTCAATTGGCACAAACAGCGGGCACCGGGGTCATCAGGTACCGGATCGTCTGGCTCGACAGAAAGCACCGAGTCATCTGGCGCTGGATCGTCTGGCTCGACAGCGGGCATCGGGTCACCAGGCATGACCGCGGGCACTGGGTCATCAGACATTGGATCGTCTGGCTGGACAGCGGGCATCGGGTCACCAGGCATCAGGTCATTTGGCTCGACAGCGGGCACCGGGTCATCAGGTACCGGATCGTCTGGCTCGACAGCAGGCATCGGGTCACCAGGCATGACAGCGGGCACTGGGTCATCAGGCATTGGATTGTCTGGCTCGACAGCAGGCATCAGGTCACCAGGTATGACAGTGGGCTCCGAGTCACCAGGCATGACCGCAGGCACTGGGTCAGACATTGGATCGTCTGGCACGACAGCGGGCATCGGGTCACCAGGCATGACAGTGGGCACCGGGTCATCAGGTACCGGATCGTCTGGTTCGACAGCGGGCACCGAGTCGTCTGGCAAGACTGCGGGCACCGAGTCGTCTGGCAAGACTGCGGGCACCGAGTCGTCTGGCAAGACTGCGGGCACCGAGTCAACTGGTGGAATAGCGGGCATCGAGTCAACTGGCGGAACAGCGGGCATCGAGTCGTCTGGCAAGACTGCGGGCACCGAGTCAACTGGCAGAACAGCGGGCATCGAGTCAACTGGAGGAACAGCGGGCATCGAGTCGATTCTGGCAAGACTGTGGGCACCGAGTCAACTGGCGGAACAGCGGGCATCGAGTCAACTGGCAGAACAGCGGGCATCAAGTCGTCTGGCAAGACTGCGGGCACCGAGTCGTCTGGCAAGACTGCGGGCACCGAGTCAACTGGCAAGACTGCGGGCATCGAGTCAACTGGCAAGACTGCGGGCATCGAGTCAACTGGCAAGACTGCGGGCCATCGAGTCAACTGGCGGAACAGCGGGCACGCGAGTCATCTGGCAAGACTGCTGCGGGGCACCGAGTCGTCTGGCAAGACTGCGGGCACCGAGTCATCTGGCAAGACTGTGGGCACCAAGTCAACTGGCGGAACAGCGGGCATCGAGTCAACTGGCGGAACAGGGGGGGTGGCGGGCACCAAGTCGTCTGGCAAGACTGCGGGGCACCGAGTCGTCTGGCAAGACTGCGGGCACCGAGTCATCTGGCAAGACTGCGGGCACCGAGTCAACTGGCGGAACAGCGGGCATCGAGTCAACTGGCGAACAGCGGGCACCGAGTCGTCTGGCAAGACTGCGGGCACCGAGTCGTCTGGCAAGACTGCGGGCACCGAGTCGTCTGGCAAGACTGCGGGCACCGAGTCAACTGGCGGAACAGCGGGCATCGAGTCAAAACTGGCGGAACAGCGGGCACCGAGTCGTCTGGCAAGACTGCGGCACCGAGTCGTCTGGCATAATAGGATCATCAGGCTGGATCAGTTCATCATGCTGGGTAGAGGACATCAGGCTGAATGGAGGCATCAGGCTGGGTAGAGGCATCAGGCTGGGTAGAAGCATCAGGCTGAATGGAGGCATCAGGCTGAATGGAGGCATCAGGCTGAATTGTGGGCGCCGAGGCACCAGGCTGCACCATGGAAGGCAGGTTCTCAGATAGGAGGCCTGACCGGTTTGGATACTGGCAGATGGTATTGGTTGGAAAGAACTTTCGCCTTTTCCTGGTTTTAGTTACCGGAGCACTGTAAGTTAAGCGCAGGTTTGTAAATGGATGGAGCAGCTGGAGACAGAGAAGAGCTGGAGGATGGAACAGGGGAGGGAACAGTTGCTACAGAGGGCTTCTTTACAGGATTAAAGGCAGGATAGGTGCAGCGAGTGGGAACAGGGTACTGACATGCGGTAGATAGCAGGGTATACGGGCTGTAACTGGAGGTGCTGTTGGAAATGCAGGAATAGAGCTTTGAAGAAATAGGTTAGAAGCAGGACTGGGTTTTTGCACAGCTGACTGAGGCTGGGTGTAACAAATCTGACCATGTCTGTAATACAGGTTGAACAAAGCTCAGTTTACACAAAGCCTGTCTGGTCAATGACTGCACTGCGTTTATACAATCTCTTAGTATCTTGTGGTGAACATGCAGAATAACGCTCCAGAAAGTAATCCACATCATCCTCTAATAACCATACCAGGGACTCTACCTGGTCGGCACTAAAATGGCGGCAAAAATTCATCCCTGCATTCGGGGGTACCAGATGAAACCAACGACTCAGCACAAACCTGAATCAATGGCTGCACCTCAGAGAACTCTGTGCCCTGATCTACTAGAACATGAGCGATCCGTATACATTCTAGCAGTTCATTCCCGGGGATACTCCTTCAGAGTTTGATAAGCATACTCTCTGTCATCAAACACTAGCAGAGATAAATACACAACCTCATCCAGATCATCCTTCCCAGCAACAAGCCAAGATGGCTTCCCTGTGCAGCCACTTCTGGTCAGGATTGGCCTTGGTGTAAATGTCAGGGCTCCGGGGTGTGACCAGAGGTATGTGACTGACGCAGGGAAGCGCAGGCTTCAGATAAGTTATAAAACAATATAATTTATTAAAGACTAACAAAACATAAACGCAGTGCAATACTAAAACATAACACAGTGCAAACGAACCAAACCAAACCACCCACAGATAACAGTACATATAATGCAAGTGTCAATCAGGCAGGCCGGGTTCAATAACAATCGGGCAGGTAGGTACAGGGGGTCAGGCAGAGAATGGTCGGGGTCACAAGCCAGGGGATAAAACAGTAGAAGTCAGCAGAGGTCCGGATCAGGCAGGTGTCAGCAACGAATTCAGACAGAGACAGGGACAGGGACAGGAACAGGAATGCAGGAACGAGATACAGGGCCCAGGAAAAACACACACCAAGGGCAGAGACTGCATGTCTGGCCATCCCTTAAAAACACCTGCATGATAAAACTTCAGGTGTTTGGCTGGCTGCAGGGTTGAGTCTCTGATTGCGGGAGCACCCGCTGGCCATCCCTGGTACTGCAGCCCACAAGGCAGGTGGGTCCCACCATTACTGGCAAGTCCATTCTGACAGTCGTCAACTCCTTACAAATTGTCCAGTAGTAAAACAGTTGCTTAGTGTGGTTTTTGAGCTTCTTTTTTCATAGTATTGATGATGCATTGTCATAAGGTTTAATAAAATGTTAAAAAAAAGAATGCTCAAAAACACTTCAAACCTAAAGCTCCACATTCCCCAAGCCCTTTCCCATCCCTATATACCCAATTATTCCAAGAGTATTGAAACTACAGACTTCAAATATGTTTTTGGTAGAAATTGGCTAGCATCAGATCAGTATGTAAACACTTGAATAGGCAGCAAATAGAAAGAGACAAGACAGGTTTTGCCTTTCAATAAAAATTAGAATCTGTTATTTCAGAGACAGTAGCCACAAATATTTTTCAGTGGCGTATCAGTTTCATGAGCGAGTAGCTTGGTAAGGCATCAATATAAGAGGGAGAGATGAAACAGGTTTTATTTTGAAATAAACATTAGAGTGTATTATTTGAGAGACAATACCCACACATATTGGGCAGTGCAGCCTCAGAGATCAACAGGCAACAGCTAGCATCTTCAGCTGCAAAAAAAAAAAAAAAAAAAAAACTAGATTATATCTACCCCCAAGCTTGGCAATCTGAGCAACCCCTCTATATAAAAATTTAGCAAAAATTACCTGGCCTGATTTGCTTTTAGAGAGAGGCAGATTCCAAATCACAATTGTTCAAATAATACACTCTAGTTTTTATTGTGCATTTATTAAAGGATAATAACTACAAAGATGGTTCAGTGGATGTATAGTATGTATGCAGCTTGGTTAGGTATCAATAACAAAGAAAGTGATGAGGCAGGTCTTATCTTGAAATAAACATTAGCCTGTAGTATCTGAGAGACAATAGACATATTATTTGTGTATTTCAGCAGCTTGGTTACACTATACATGTCTGCTTTCTTTCTCTTCCTTATGTTCTTTCATTTTTTCTTCTTCTGGGTCCTGGTGTTTATTTTTATAGCAAAGATCTTTTATTTGTTCATGAACGTGGAGACTAGTCTCACTAATCAGCACAACAGTTTTTGGTACCTCCTTCACCCTCTTCCTGTTTGCACTCCTCTGCACACGGGCTATTCTGTTTCTGCCCTTTTAGGTCTATTTATAGAGATGAGCGAATTATTCAAAAATTCGGTTCGGCTGATTTGCCGAATTCGCCGAATAAATTCGCTTCGAGCCGAATATATTCGCTGCGAATTTAACTTATAAAAAGGGTGTTTCTAGCTTCAGAGAGCCTTTATATTAGTGCAGAACACTGTACCTTTAATTTAAATGCCCTTGGAGTCTGCTGGGGAAGAGAAATAATACTGTCAGTCAGTATGACATGCAGATGAGTGCCGTCGATCTTAGAATCACCGCACACTTCACTCATTTGGGCAGTCACGGGGCCAAAACCAGAGTGTGGAGCCACAGTGTGGCGGTGGAGGCAGCAGCAATGGGAGGCCATACAGCACCCTATGACAAAATGGAACCCACCAGCAGTGTAAGGAGACCTGAAAGTGTTACATGGCAGAGTGTGGCGATGGAGACAGCAGCAATGGGGCCGTACAGGGACCCATGACACACTCTGGACCTGGCAGCAGCATGAGGAGGCGGTACAGGGGCCCATGACAGATTACGGGCCTGGCAGCAGCATAAGGAGTCGGTACGGGGCCCATGGCAGATTACGGGCCTGGCAGCAGCATGAGGAGGCGGTACAGGGGGCCCATGGCAGAGTGGCGGAGCGTAAGCAGCTAAAATTGAAGGCCATACAGAGGCCTATGTTAAAAAGTCCCCCCAGCAGCAGCGTGGGGAGACGACTATCAAGAGTCCAATGGCAGAGTGGCAGAGCAGAAGCAGCTTCAATTGAAGGCCATACACAGGCCTAGGTTTAAAAGTCCCTCACAGTTAATTCCAATAACGAACTCTACTCCTCCGTGCAATCTACTTACGAGACCCTGGGCAGGTCTGGGTCCAATTTGTGGTAGAGACTGGTTTTGTTCAGCCATGCTTGAGTGAGTAATAACAGGTCTGTGCTGCCCTTTGGTGTCTGGCTTAATGCGCACAACACTGAACGTCCCAGCGTTTGTCAACGATTTGCCGTTAAATGATGCAAACCCGCTGAACCACGTTCATGAGGAGCCGGTACAGGGGGCCATGAATCAGTATGGACCTGGCAGCAGCGTGAGCAGACGACAGAGGCACATGGCGCAGGGTGGCGGTGTAGGCAGCATTATTCTGAAGCCATACACAGGCCTAGGTTAAAAAGCGGAAGCCGTCAGCAGCGTGAGCAGACGACAGAGACACATGGCGCAGGGTGGCGGTGGATGCAGCAGTATTCGGAAGCCAAACACAGGCCTCGGTTAAAAAAGCGGAAGCCGTCAGCAGCGTGAGCAGACGACAGAGGCACATGGCGCAGGGTGGCGGTGGAGGCAGCAGCAATGGAAGGCCATACAGCACCCTATCACAAAATGGAACCCACCAACAGTGTAAGGAGACCTGAAAGTGGCACATGGCA